CCGCCTATCTATAATAACCACCACCATAAATCCCACCTATCTATAATAACCAACACCATCAAGACCATCTATCTATTATAATCACCACCATAAAGACCAACTATCTAAAATAACCATCGGCCATAAAGACTGCCTATCTGTAATGACCACCACCATAAAGACCAACTATCTGTAATGACCACCTGCCATATAGACCACCTATCTTTAATGACCACCTGTCATAAAGACCGCCTATCTATTATAACTACCGGCCATAAAGACCACCTATCTATAATAACCGCCGGCCATAAAGACCATCGATCTATTATAACCACCACCATAAAGACCACCTATCAATAACAACCACCGGCCATAAAGAACACTTATCTATAACAACCACCGGCCATAAAGACCACCTATATATAACAACTACCGGCCATAAAGACCACCGATCTATAACAACCACCGGCCATAAAGACCACTGGCCATAAAGACCACCTATCTATAATAACCGCCGGCCATAAAGACCACCTATCTATTATAACCACTACCATAAAGACCACCTATCAATAACAACCACCGGCCATAAAGACCACTGGCCATAAAAACCACCTATATATAACAACCACCGGCCATAAAGACCACCTATACATAACAACCACCGGCCATAAAGACCACCTATATATAACAACCACCGGCCATAAAGACCACCTATACATAACAACCACCGGCCATAAAGACCACCTATATATAACACCCACCGGCCATAAAGACCACCTATCTATATTAACCACCTACCATAAAGACCACATATCTATAGTAACCACATGCCATAAAGACCACCTATCTATAATAACCACTTGCCATAAAGACCACCTATCTATAATAACCACCACCATAAAGACCAGCTATCTATCATAACCACCTGCCATAAAGACCACCTATCTATAATAACCACCCACCATAAAACCACCTATCTATAATAACTACCTGTGTCTAAGAATAGATTATTGTAAACATCCGAACTCAAGGCCATGGCTAATGATTCATGCGTTTCACGATAAAGACTCAACAAAATGCTTATTTCGCGATATTTCTTTGAATTTATAACGAATGATATGCTGTATGTAACACAAGATCATATAATCATTACCAACAAGTTTTGATAGGATTTAGTTTTCATTACTACTGCCTGCGTCATGCCGTTAACTGCTTTCTTACAAAATACACATCTTGAAATGCGATCCTTACTTTGTGCTGCCGTCTTCCTGCATTTCAAACAAATGAGGCTATCCTCAACGATGAATTTTCCCGTATTTATTGTTATATATTTGCGATTTACAAAACTTTATATTTGTTGCTTGACATTTTATTTTTGTGACGCAACAATCCCACATTTTTTGTTGTTGTATTTCAGCATCATTTGTTTGTGTTTACATAATAGATAAAACTTCTAGGGCCAATTTGAGGATAAAACAATTCAAAAATATATGTTAGATGGTGTCTTATCTACATAGACGAAGATGGGAATACAAACTTTTTTAACCCAAGAAACACCTGTCGCAGTTTAAGAAACTCGCTCATCCCTGTTTTTCATTATTTTGAGCACTTTCCCAAAGGAGGACAACTTTTCCGGAATTCGTTTTGTTTTTGTATATTACGTCACGGAATAAAAAAGCTTATTTAAAAGTTATAATATAATTTTAAATATGATTCTTTACACAGGCAACATTATTACATTCCTAAACAACCTACACGGGTGAAGGTGTTTTTGCACGTGTATTCCTCTGTCCTTGTGCACGTGCCGAATTTCGCATTTTTCGGTGATAGTAAGGAAGTTTTGACATTCCTTACCAACTTTGTTATTTTTGTGAACGTGTTTTATAAGCTATGCATAGACATAGAGTGAGTGAAGATTCTGACTAATGATGCCCTCAGGGACAAGGTTCAGACTAACCCAACCTCTATATGCATAGACACAAAATAATATAGTTAGTCTGTGACTTGTCCCTGTGGTGTCTCCCAAAATACTGTCGCTATACGCTTTGGTGTGCATCGGGATACTATATATGCATGCCTTATGGAGACGTTTCCAGCAGTCTTATAACCCTGGGGACCGCCCCAGACGAGGACGTTCGCTTGTGACGTTATTACGTTAGACCAATTGCATCCGGGTAGTACAGTTTTGACGGCGAGAAGCATTCCTGAATTACGGAGAATCAGTCCAAGAACTGGGAGAAATCGACAGTGTGAACTGTCCTGCAATGACGTCATCGTCTTGCCCGTCTTGTGCAGGAGACATCTCCACTTTACTAGAAGGGGTTGCGCGTGTATCTTGTTCTCAGACGAGTCCCTGTTCCACTTGGACAGTAGTGACAGCCGCTCCGGAGTGTACCGTCGTGTTAGAGAGGATTTCAAAGACAATTGTGTCGTGGAACGTCGCCCCCTTGGCGGAGGTATTACGATTGTATGGGGCGGCATAACAGCATATTGGTCTTTGATCATTTGATCTTTGAACAGTGGTCATTGATGGGAATTGACCGGTGCATGCGACCGCGCCGAGATCCTGCAAGCCGACGTCATCCCGTTCGTGCAGCTTCACATTACGCTGCGACATGACTACGATAAACCCCACTTTTCGCGCGTTATCACTTATTTCCTGACCCTGCATGATGTTGATGTGTTGTCATGACCTGCAGTATTACATGACCTTGCGCCCATCGAGCTCATATGGAACGAGATGTAACGCCGACTCAGAATACCCTCCGTATCTATTGTACCTTCGCGATAACATAGGTGTTCTTTTTACCTTTTTGAATGGATTGGTCTTTGATGGTAGGGTTGGGTGAGGGTGGGGTTTGGTTAAGTAATCATAAATAAATCCTGCCTAATCTGTCTGAATGGTATAAGATATACATTGTATATCATATTGTCGACAATATATGGTTTCTTCCAAATGTTTAATACGCATTGATGACAAATATCATTTTCAAGGTCACATCAAGGTAATCTGCTGAATACACTGTCAAAACTCGATCATTCCCAGGGATTTTTTTTGTACACCGTAAATGAAAAAGCATCCTTAATCTTATTTTTTGATAACAATGTGTTAAGCAATGATTTTTGTAAAACCAAATACGATGTTTAAAGTGTATAATGCATATCTGCATGTGCTATTGAACGTTGTTTCGAAAGCTAGAGGCATAATTTATTATAAAAAGAGGGTGTGGCGTTGTGGGCAGAGTACGAATCCCCAATAGTGGAAATATAGATAAATGATTAAAATCCTTCTTCTTCCGTGCGAATGGAGGGATGTAATCTATATATTATCGAGAGCATCAATGGGGACACAATTTTGTATAAACTGAGGATGAGACTCGCCCTGAGACCAGATGAGTTGATTCCATAAAAGATTCGGGTTAATTAAACTTGAAAAAAACAGGGGCCCGTATTCATGAAACCGTTCTCATGCTCAAGCATTGATTCTGTGCTCAAACCTTCTTTCTTGTAACTGGCTTAAATCATACCAAACGACCAAAAGGTCGAATGTAAACATTGAAAACAGTTTCCGGCTTTTTAGTCTCTTCAATGTTGTTTTTATTAAATCATCGACAAAATAGGATCTTTTTATCAATTTTAAAACGGGAAGTAGAAATTTGACTTGAGGACAAAATCTTTGCTTGAGCATGAGAAAGGTTTCATGGATACGTTTTAAATACTTCCCTAACGGGATACGTCCATATTTATGCAAGATACTTAAAAACTTGTGTACACGGGACACATGCAGTAAAATGAACGAGATTTGTTAACTTTATATTATGTATATATATGTAAGTGAAATGTAGGATAAGTAAGTCCATTGCGTTTGAGAGAAATATCAATTTCATACGCGGTATAATGTGGTATAATGTAGATTATAAATATACAGAAAAAAATCCAATAAAATCACTAACATACAGACAGAGACTACTCCGGATGAACAACTCACTTCGCCGCCTCTCAAACAAGTCTAAACGCCTCCACCACAAATCAAGGACAAACCACAAACTTATCCACACATTCAAAACAGTTAAAGCTAAAGTACAAAACAAACCCACAATGCATACCTACAATACATTGAGAAGATGATTACAGACCTACCAATAGGCGAATCTGAAGACCCCAACACAAGGAACAATTACAACCCTAAAAAACTCTTCTCGTTCATCAAAAACACAAAAAAAAAACCCAAAAAAACACAGACATCATAGTACTATGTAAAAACGGGTACCTCACAACAGAACCAGAAACAAAGGCAAACATACTAAATGAACAGTTCCAAGAAGCCTTCACACCAGAACAAAACACAACAATACCTGACTAAGGAATATACACATAACATGCCAAGGAGTCGACAAACTACTCAATTACATTAAACCACACAAAGGAACAGGCCCAAACCATATACACGGCAGAATACCGAAAAAACTTAAGGACATTACAGCACCAATACTAACAAATATATTCCAAACATCACTCAATATAGTAACATAACCCAGTGACTGGAAACACGCCAACGTAAACCCCATATACAAAAAGGATTAAGTAGTTACAGACATATCTACACATCCAAAGACACATACAGACACTCATTCTTTCCATACACCATAACACAGTGGAATCTCCTACCCAAAACAATCATCCAATCAGAAACACTAGCAGAATTCAGGACATGCACTACATATAACATAATCAAACATATACAAAACCTATAACATAACTAACACTCACTCACTGCTTTTAACTTGTTTTTATCCTATAGCAAATTACAAAAATATGATAAAAACTCACTGTACATAACAACTCATTACAGACCAGAATTCCGTGTTCATCAGTATTGACGGAGGACGGTTTATATAGGAAGATGAAGATATAATTATATAATCTCTTTAAAATCATCGTTACAAGGTTTTGCAAAGTAGCTAACGAAGCCAGGTAAAAACATTTAACCTAGTCTGCGTGTAGACAACAAAACACCATACGATTAGTGTATATTTTAATGTGTAGCTCATAAACATAGGTACATCTGTTCAGGGCTGTAAGAGTTATATAACTAAATAGTTGTACAGTACGGTCAATTCCGATTATTATAACTATGAAAGTATTGAACTTAGTCACCCAATCACAGACTACATTTAACTTATTTAAATATCATATTTTAACTATTGACGGATATTTCATATGCCAATATTTATGCATCAGATATGTTCTGTTGATGTTCTGATGTACAAACAATTAACAAAACGGTTTAAAAACATTCCGGATCTTCGCTCTATCTGGGAGTACAACACTTGTTCCTCCCACAAACGCCTAGGTTTCCACCCCTGTACTCCCGTTCGTGGCTGAAACAGGTGCTCCGACACCACCCTCTATTGCCTCTACACGAATGGTTGTCACGGTTCTGATTTCCTGTAGAAATGAAATTTATTGTTTTATAAATATACCTTAATTAAACATGTAATAAATGATCAAATAAAATAACAGTTTACAAACATAACTGAAATATCTCGCCATGAACTTTAGTTACTCTTGTTTTGAGCCACCACTAGTATCTATAATGACCGCAAGCCAAAAAGACTACCTATTTATAATTATAATAATCAACTGTCTTCAAAACCGCAAATCTATAATAATCAACTGCCATTAAGACCTATCTATAATGACCACCTATCTATAATTACCAGCAGCCAAAAAGACCTATCTATAATAACCACCTATTTATAATAACCACCTGCCATTAAGACCACCTATCTATAATAACCACCTGCCATAAATACCAACTATCTATAATAACCACGTGCAATAAAGACCACCTATCTATAAAGACCACCTATTTATAATAACCACAAGGAATAAAGACCACCTATCTTTAAAAACTACCTGCCATAAAGACCACCTATCTATAAAGACCTGCTATTTATTATAACCACCAGGAATAAAGACCACCTATCTATAATAACCACCTGTCATAAATACCAACTATCTATAATATCCATCTGCCATAAAGACCACCTATCTATAAAGACCTGCTATTTATAATAACCACCACCATAAAGACCACCTATCTATAATAACCACCTGCCATAAAGACCACATATCTATAATAACCACCGGCCATAAAGACCACCTATCTATAATGACCACATATTTATAATAACAACCTGCCATAAAGACCACCTATCTATAAAGACCTGCTATTTATTATAACCACCAGGAATAAAGACCACCTATCTATAATAACCACCTGTCATAAATACCAACTATCTATAATATCCATCTGCCATAAAGACCACCTATCTATAAAGACCTGCTATTTATAATAACCACCACCATAAAGACCACCTATCTATAATAACCACCTGCCATAAAGACCACATATCTATAATAACCACCGGCCATAAAGACCACCTATCTATAATGACCACATATTTATAATAACAACCTGCCATAAAGACCACCTATCTATAAAGACCTGCTATTTATTATAACCACCAGGAATAAAGACCACCTATCTATAATAACCACCTGTCATAAATACCAACTATCTATAATATCCATCTGCCATAAAGACCACCTATCTATAAAGACCTGCTATTTATAATAACCACCACCATAAAGACCACCTATCTATAATAACCACCTGCCATAAAGACCACATATCTATAATAACCACCGGCCATAAAGACCACCTATCTATAATGACCACATATTTATAATAACAACCTGCCATAAAGACCACCTATCTATAAAGACCTGCTATTTATTATAACCACCAGGAATAAAGACCACCTATCTATAATAACCACCTGTCATAAATACCAACTATCTATAATATCCATCTGCCATAAAGACCACCTATCTATAAAGACCTGCTATTTATAATAACCACCACCATAAAGACCACCTATCTATAATAACCACCTGCCATAAAGACCACATATCTATAATAACCACCGGCCATAAAGACCACCTATCTATAATGACCACATATTTATAATAACAACCTGCCATAAAGACCACCTATCTATAAAGACCTGCTATTTATTATAACCACCAGGAATAAAGACCACCTATCTATAATAACCACCTGTCATAAATACCAACTATCTATAATATCCATCTGCCATAAAGACCACCTATCTATAAAGACCTGCTATTTATAATAACCACCACCATAAAGACCACCTATCTATAATAACCACCTGCCATAAAGACCACATATCTATAATAACCACCGGCCATAAAGACCACCTATCTATAATGACCACATATTTATAATAACAACCTGCCATAAAGACCACCTATCTATAAAGACCTGCTATTTATTATAACCACCAGGAATAAAGACCACCTATCTATAATAACCACCTGTCATAAATACCAACTATCTATAATATCCATCTGCCATAAAGACCACCTATCTATAAAGACCTGCTATTTATAATAACCACCACCATAAAGACCACCTATCTATAATAACCACCTGCCATAAAGACCACATATCTATAATAACCACCGGCCATAAAGACCACCTATCTATAATGACCACATATTTATAATAACAACCTGCCATAAAGACCACCTATCTATAAAGACCTGCTATTTATTATAACCACCAGGAATAAAGACCACCTATCTATAATAACCACCTGTCATAAATACCAACTATCTATAATATCCATCTGCCATAAAGACCACCTATCTATAAAGACCTGCTATTTATAATAACCACCACCATAAAGACCACCTATCTATAATAACCACCTGCCATAAAGACCACATATCTATAATAACCACCGGCCATAAAGACCACCTATCTATAATGACCACATATTTATAATAACAACCTGCCATAAAGACCACCTATCTATAAAGACCTGCTATTTATTATAACCACCAGGAATAAAGACCACCTATCTATAATAACCACCTGTCATAAATACCAACTATCTATAATATCCATCTGCCATAAAGACCACCTATCTATAAAGACCTGCTATTTATAATAACCACCACCATAAAGACCACCTATCTATAATAACCACCTGCCATAAAGACCACATATCTATAATAACCACCGGCCATAAAGACCACCTATCTATAATGACCACATATTTATAATAACAACCTGCCATAAAGACCACCTATCTATAAAGACCTGCTATTTATTATAACCACCAGGAATAAAGACCACCTATCTATAATAACCACCTGTCATAAATACCAACTATCTATAATATCCATCTGCCATAAAGACCACCTATCTATAAAGACCTGCTATTTATAATAACCACCACCATAAAGACCACCTATCTATAATAACCACCTGCCATAAAGACCACATATCTATAATAACCACCGGCCATAAAGACCACCTATCTATAATGACCACATATTTATAATAACAACCTGCCATAAAGACCACCTATCTATAAAGACCTGCTATTTATTATAACCACCAGGAATAAAGACCACCTATCTATAATAACCACCTGTCATAAATACCAACTATCTATAATATCCATCTGCCATAAAGACCACCTATCTATAAAGACCTGCTATTTATAATAACCACCACCATAAAGACCACCTATCTATAATAACCACCTGCCATAAAGACCACATATCTATAATAACCACCGGCCATAAAGACCACCTATCTATAATGACCACATATTTATAATAACAACCTGCCATAAAGACCACCTATCTATAAAGACCTGCTATTTATTATAACCACCAGGAATAAAGACCACCTATCTATAATAACCACCTGTCATAAATACCAACTATCTATAATATCCATCTGCCATAAAGACCACCTATCTATAAAGACCTGCTATTTATAATAACCACCACCATAAAGACCACCTATCTATAATAACCACCTGCCATAAAGACCACATATCTATAATAACCACCGGCCATAAAGACCACCTATCTATAATGACCACATATTTATAATAACAACCTGCCATAAAGACCACCTATCTATAAAGACCTGCTATTTATTATAACCACCAGGAATAAAGACCACCTATCTATAATAACCACCTGTCATAAATACCAACTATCTATAATATCCATCTGCCATAAAGACCACCTATCTATAAAGACCTGCTATTTATAATAACCACCACCATAAAGACCACCTATCTATAATAACCACCTGCCATAAAGACCACATATCTATAATAACCACCGGCCATAAAGACCACCTATCTATAATGACCACATATTTATAATAACAACCTGCCATAAAGACCACCTATCTATAAAGACCTGCTATTTATTATAACCACCAGGAATAAAGACCACCTATCTATAATAACCACCTGTCATAAATACCAACTATCTATAATATCCATCTGCCATAAAGACCACCTATCTATAAAGACCTGCTATTTATAATAACCACCACCATAAAGACCACCTATCTATAATAACCACCTGCCATAAAGACCACATATCTATAATAACCACCGGCCATAAAGACCACCTATCTATAATGACCACATATTTATAATAACAACCTGCCATAAAGACCACCTATCTATAAAGACCTGCTATTTATTATAACCACCAGGAATAAAGACCACCTATCTATAATNAAGACCACCTATCTATAATAACCACGTGCCATAAAGACCACCTATCTATAAAGACCACATATTTATAATAACCACCAGGAATAAAGACCACCTATTTATAATAACCACCTGCCATAAAGACCACCTATTTATAATAACCACCTGCCATTAAGACCACCTATCTATAATAACCACCTGCCATAAAGACCACCTATCTATAAAGACCACATATTTATAATAACCACCAGGAATAAAGACCACCTATTTATAATAACCACATGCCATAAAGACCACCTATTTATAATAACCACCTGCCATAAAGACCACATATCTATAATAACCACCTGCCACAAAGACCACCTATCTATAATAACCACGTGCTATAAAGACCAACTATCTATAAAGACCACATATTTATAATAACCACCAGGAATAAAGACCACCTATCTATAATAACCACCTGCCATAAAGACCACCTATCTATAATGACCACCACCATAAAGACCACCTATTTATAATAACCACATGCCATGAAGACCACCTATTTATAATAACCACATGCCATGAAGACCACCTATCTATAATAACCACCTGCCTTATAGATTCCCGTCTACATTGCCCACCTATCTTCTTAACTACTACTTTATGAATGGCCCTTTAACTTTTATGAAAAAAGTGCTTTGATCCCGGGAGTCAAACCAAATTAGGTAAATGGAATAGGCATTATCCTTATCTTTCTATATTGGGTCAATTGGGTCACACCCTTTTGCCCAAAAAGGGTTTCAAACCAACAATTGTAATTCCTTTAAATGTATTGAAGAAGTTCCAAAGTGTTTCCCCCCTAAACAGGCACCCTCTGTCCTTTGGAAAGTTGCACAGACTCAACTTTCGAAAAGTTGAGCCCCCTTGACCAAAGCATGCTCCAGACCAAGTTATGTTAAAACCATGTATCCGTTACCGTTTATCCGTCTACCAAAACAAAATAATTTTGCGAAACTAAGAATATCGATAACACTCTTCATTTATTACGCACAATAAAGTACCAAGTTAAACATACTTAAGAAATTTATGAAATATCACACTAGGTCTGTCGATTTGTTTCTAAGTTTACAAGTGAAACCAACAATAGAATTTGAGAAAAAAAGGTCGAACACATTCTTCTTTGGAAGCAGCGATAACAAGAGTTGGTTACGGTAAAAAAAAGACGGAAGACAGACAAAAGGCGATTTGAACAACCCATAATTCGATGATTATGTTGAGTTTATATCGCGCAGTGATACCTACGGGTACGGATTCTGTCTGCTAGTGTGACTCCTGCCGCGGCCACAGCAGCTGCTCCGAAAGCCGCTACCAGGTAGCTGGAAAAAAGATCAACGCATAAAGCATTATCTATCTGTGTGTATGTACTTCTCTTTGCGGTATATTTTGGTGAGCATAACGTCACGCTACCACAATTGGTACAATTTTGACAGTTTTTCAGAGATATTCAAAAATTCAGATCTTGTATCTGGAATGTTTCTTGATTCTTGACAAAGACTACCTAAGTGGTTTATTTTAAGCAAAGTTTTAATTCTCCCTTGTTTGATTTTGAAAATAGAACGCTAAACTCGCAGTGAGATTTCGTCCGTTTTTCGGCCGTGATTAGTACCCCAAATTGGTACACCATATCATAAGCTATGAATCTTGTGTTTTATTCTACTAATTGATGTGCCGATTGCAACAAAATGTATTGCTTTTATAAATACTATAATGAACTACAATTGTATAAATACACTTTTATATTATCCGGTTATAAGTACAAGAAAACCCCTTCAAAATACTACAAAATGTCGTCGACGTACGCCGTTTTTACTGGTTTTCTGATAATTATGTTTACTTTGAAGACATCGTGTACTCTTAAATTGTTCCTGGAAACAAAACTATTCGCTGGAAATGCTGATGAATATCTCCTTTGTTGTCAAAAGTAAAATGCTCAAATTAAATTTTAAAGTACTATTCGAACCATTTTCTGACCGTGTACGAATTTGGGTAGTATGCCAATTGTGGTAGGGTGACATTAGTTTTGTATATAATAAAAATGAATACGGAACAAAACGGTGAAATATTACCAGGCATATTAAACCGAGAGTATTTAGCTACGGCTAGTTGTTTATATATTCAAAAAAGATACTATATGGATGTGTGCTGTTAACGAGAGGGAGAAAGAGAGGGTAAAGTGCCATAACAGGCTCGGCTACACAGAACCCTTCAACAAATACTAACATATTTACAATTGAGTATTGCCAAACTCGAACTTTTTTTCATCGATGTTGGAATATTGAAAATGTGTACTTAATGTCGGGAATTTCATTATCCCAATTTGTGTATCATTGGTCCTTATATTATCCTTGTACGTTTTAAATTACTTTTATGAAAGTTTTGCTCTATACACAAACCATGTACGGAACCAATGTGTAGCATCGTTTCAAGTTCACATCACACACTTTAACAATACCGTCCATTGCATAAATCCTATTTCATACAACTAAACAATACAGGAGACTATATGGCTCATATTAACTTTTTTCACAAACAATCTCTGGTCTGGAGAAGAATTTAAGAAAAGGAACACAGTAAGAACAATACATGTATGTAAATGAAGTACAAAATATAGCTTCAGCTGCATTCTGTTTACAATACATAGCCGACACAAAACCAACCATGATGATTAACGGGCCTACTTTTGTGCTTCCACATGAATACTTAGTCAATCAGCTCAATATATACAGATAACAGGTATTTTGATACATAATATAATCATTGTAAATCTGATCATAGTAGCATAAGTAAACTATAAGACACACACCTTTGAAACTGCAAATGAAGGAAAAGCATAAAATACATGCATAAAATACAGTTTTTTGCTGAAACTTTCCATGTTTCTCAGGCACTCAGTGCGATCTACCTCCTTGTATATCTGTTATATCTGGGGAAAATCTAGTTATGGAGATATTTGGGGTCAAACACGCCAAAATCGGCATTTTGACCACTAGTTTCTGAATATTTCACCCTTCAAGCGAAGAAACAAAACTCCAAACATAAGTAGTCTAAGTTATTCTGAAGAAAACGGTATATTTGGTTTTTCGATATCTTTCACAGAACGGCCCCAAGAGGGTTATGAAAATGGGGTGTATTTCTGGGGTTTCATGGAATTTTCCAGAAGATCCGATTTCCCCGGTACTCCTTAAAAGCGTCTTAAACCGACAACAAGCGTCTTCAAGTGACATCAAGCGTCTTCAAGTGACAACAAGCGTCGCCAGACAAAATCTATAAAAATACCGAATAAATTAAACGACATCAGAAGATATGTTGTTAATATGGCTATAATACACCTTTCTACCAAATTTCAATTTGATATTTGAAAAATTGCCCGAGTAATGATGAATTGAATTTTACGATCTGCGGCGTGGCAGGTGTGTACAGTTAGAAAGCGTCGCCAGACAATACTCATATGGAGAAATGACGGTCACTTTGCTAATTTCACATAGTATTGCGACTGTTGAATGGTATAAAGTACCTAAACCCTGAATTCGATCGGGAACTTCACAAGTTTGAAACTTGATCATGTATTTCATTGATTTGCAATTGATGTTTTTCAATCTTTTTTGTAAAACACCCCGCGTCTGACCAATATGTCTCTGCACGTGTTCTATACGACTCATCAATCTTTTGCGAGATAGTAATGGATTTTATATTAAATATTAATTCAATAAACTTTTCTTGTGTTATTTTGTCATAGACTATGCATAAACTGATCTTTTAGGGGCAACATCTAGTTTAAAACGTAATTGATCATGTCAGTGAAACAATGTTAATACAGCAATATGATCAGGGCTGGCCGTGTTCAGCTATACGATCGAAGTCCTACATTAATGTACGTACATGTAGACATGTGACACGACGAGAGCTTCATACGTGTACTCATAAAACTTAAATACCTCACGATAACTCGGTCAATTTTCTCAAATATCAAACTGAAATTTGGTATAAAGGTGTGTTATAGTCATATGAATAACATATCGTCTATATCATATGACTGTAAATGACTCATTATCAGAAACTGCCACATTTTTTGGAAAAGGAAAACTCAAAACAAAGGTGCTGTTCCTGCATTTTTTTTCTCCATTTACAGTATAAACGCATCAAATGAATTTTAATAAACATTTAAAGTGTGATTTCCTAAAAATTGTTGTTTTGGAAGGTATAACCAAAAAATACCACACATATTTACAAAAGTTCCATCCTGTTACCATTAAAAAAAACAGTTTATTAAACAAAGATAAAAAAAAAAAAATAGATTAACTTATTCTTGTGATAAAATATCAATATTCTAATTGATTTCACATATTATTGTTTCAAAAGTATATATACAATTTCATAGTTACTATTTAATTAACAGCTAGGCTGAGACCAGAATGTTCGCATTTCATATTTTTGATTTGTTTTTTCTTGACAACTCAACAACAAACCAAAAAGTATCAATGTTATATGTAACTACTATTTCAATATTTCAATATTTGAAAAGTTAATAGCAATTCAAAAGAAACACATTTTTTTTATTTCAATTTTTACTATCAGTAACAGGACATAACTTGTAGTAACATGAGAGAACAAAGTAACAGGACGGAAGATTACCATGTACGTGTACCTCATATCTTAAATATTATCATAAAACACCTACAGTCTCAATTAATTAGATGTGACTTATTGTATAATTTACTCAAGTGAATAAGAAACATAAATTAACTTTATGAAATCATATATATCGTAACCCAAGTACATAAAATCTACTCGTCCGGCAGACTAGGTGACAATAAAATCTCTCGTCTGTCAGCAAAATCTGCACCTCAGGACGAACGGACGAGTGCTTTTACCGAGCCATGAAGATACTTGCATGCATGAACATTTATATATATAAAAATAATTTATAAACTAGTACATGACAATTGCAATTGTAATACTTAAGTGAAAATTGTGTAAAAAAGTGTTCTCGTCTTTAAGACTTAAATTGTGAAAATCAAGGATAACACACATAAAAAAAAAAAATGCAGATTTTTTTTTAATTTTTAACCTAAAAATTGACCCTCACAGATAAGATTTTTTCTCCTAAAACATTTCTTAAAATTAAACATCACTTTCATGCTAACCAAAATACTCAGTCACAATTCAGCATACGTTCAACATTATTTTTTTTCGCAAACTGAAATCTCGAACCAAATACAAATTTTATATTATGAAAAATATGCAGCCTAGCACTGTTCAATACATTGTATCAATTTTCCTCTCAAACAAGTAACAAAGGGAAGTAAGTTTGAAAATGAAAGTCCCATAATTCTTGTGTTGAATATGGTACTTTGAGTCTCTGTGCATGTAATTAAGTGCAACATACATGTACTATCACATTTGATCTTGTTATCATATAACGTCATAGTTACCATAAATACTCACTCTGGTATCATAATGAACAACAGAAATCCTATCCAAACTTCAGCTTAGCAACAGACACTAATTCTTACATAGTTAAATAGGGACATAACATCCAAGGTTTCAAAATGTCATGCATATGACATCACAGTCATCTGTTCCAACCCTGGTAATACAGATCTGTAGCAATGATCATAAGAAACTGTCCGCTGATCCCATTTTTATACGCCCGTCAAATTTGACGGGAGCGTTATGGTATGGCGTCGTCCGACCGTTCGGCGTAAACTTTTTGTTTGTCCGCATTCTCCTCCTACATTTTTCGACCGATCTCTTTGAAACATGGTAAACATTATAATCATGATATGAAGTTGTGTTTCCCTTAAAAGAATTTTGATTTGACTATTTTTGCAAAATTTATTGTCCTTTGTTTATTTCAGTGTTTGATTTTTGTCTGGCGATCTCCTCCTACATTTTGACCGATTTCTTTGAAACTTAGTAGACTTTATAATCATGATATGTTGTTGTGTTTGCACAAAATGAATTTTGATTCGATTATCATTGCAAAAGTTATTGCCCTTTGTTCATTTCAATATTTGATTTTTGTCCGGTATTTTTCTCCTACTTTTTTCGACCGATTTCTTTGAAACTTGGAAATCGTTATAGTCATGATATATAGTTATGTTTCTTCGAGAAAAAATAAATTGATTCGACTTTTTTTGTAAAGGTTATTGGCCTTTGTTTATTTCTAGTACTTGAATCTTGTCCGGAGCTCTCCTTCTACAGTTTTCTATCGATTTCTTTAAACTTGGTAGGCTTTATAATCATGATAACAAGTTGTGTTTCATGAGTTGGAGACTAATCTTTTGATTACTTGTTTTCCTCAAACTATTAGAAAATTAAAGAAAATCGAACATTGACTTTGTAGTGAAAGGTGAGATTTATAGCATGCTAGTTAGCCACTCTTAAGGTGATGCAAATCTTATTTTAATGCAAGATATAGTATATAACACTATATGGCATTCGACGGGCGTATATATTGTACCGCCCTGCGGTACTCTTTCTAGCTCACCTGGCCATGGTCCGAAATTTTGCAAAAGGAAATGCCCTTGGCCCTTATTCAAGGTCACAGGGGTCAAATATGTTAAAACACTCGAACAATTTCTTCAATGTCATGTTGAATAGCTGTTTTAGCCGTGTTTAAATAGAGGTTACACAACGAGTGGTTTTTGATTATGGTATTTATTTCACTCGAGTTAGTTAATTTTCAAAAGTTACAAAAGACACGAGCTTTAGCGAGTGTCTTTCTGTAACTTTTGAAAATTAACTAACGAGAGTGAAATAAATACCATACTCAACAACCAGAGTCGTGTGATCTGTTTCTACCACAGTCTCAGTCGGAAACAGCTGGAATATTTCCTGATTTAAAAAGCATACACACATTTTGTTGACAAGGCTGGCGTATTGATCTGACCCACTTCTTTTTTATAAATTTAATAATTTTCAAAATTAATGTTTTTGCAACAACTTCGTGAAGTTAAGTTAACCTGGCGTCTGAGCAATTTTGCCTGAAACTGACGATCAAATCTGTAAGCATCATCTTCTTTTGGTATTGCCTTAATAACCCCCTTTTCCCATCGCATAACCTCACAAAAGTGACCAACATTTGCCGGATGTTAACAGCAGACGACGTAAACAAAACAGCACGCGGCAAAAAGCGCGTGAAAAAAGTCGTCCGGTCCAGGTTCATCTTCTCGACCAATTAAAACTAAGGAAGGTCATATACCACGTGTGGTGTATAACACAGCGTATTGTGGTAGAAACAGAGTTATTGTCCTGTACACTTCATTCCATCTGTGACATCCCTTCAGGTGTCACACTATTAGTACAAGGGTAAATAGTACAGAAAATACACATTGTAAAAAGTTACTTGATTCATCAAATACTTTCAGCGATGTCATTTCTACTCCAAATTTCTCTGATATATACACTAAGGATCAGTCTTTAAAGTACTAGTTAAATAAACCGAAATAAAGATCATCAACTAGGTAGATTTCCAAAACCTCCTACTCACCCTTTCCATACTCGATGAAGACTTTGCATTGTTTGTGCATAAAGAATAACTTCGATACATAACATTTCCGAACTAATAAGTATTACAGAAAAAAATTCTTACTTACTGTTGCATTTCAAATGAAATCAACTATGGCTGGTACTTATCACACCGATGCCATGTTTTCATTATAGAACAAGTTTTTGCAAGTGAACGCATTTTAAAGCACATAAGATAGCTCTAGTAAGATTATAAGATTTACTTGAAGACTTGCTGCCCAACAACGGCCCCAACATATACGAGCGGGATGGCTCGTTTCTCTCTACTTCGGACCTTCTCTGGGACGGACGCCGGACAGACCGGACACAGGATGGCCATTAGGATCAGTGACGTATACAGCATGGCGTAACATCTTACTCGAGAGGGGAAAACCATGTTGATCTGGTATCACAAAAAAATAAATAAATAAATAAATAAAAGAAACATCATATAATATATTTGTCTCCTGTATTTGGCGTCGAGATAAAACTTGAATATTTTGTTTTCTGGTGCACTAAGCACCACTGAAAGAATTTCGTTAATCTCAACTACAGCCTGAGGTAGACTGACATTGTATATGTACTGTGGCTACCTCAGGTCACCCTCCAATCTATAAACTGGGGCTACCTCAGGTCACCTCTCCAATCTGTAAACTGTGGCTACCTCTGGTCACTTCTCCAATATATAAACTGTGGCTACCTCAGGTCACCCTCCAATCTATAAACTGTGGCTACCTCATGTCACCCTCCAATCTATAAACTGTGGCTACCTCAGGTCACCTCTCAAATCTAAAAACTGGGGCTACCTCAGTTCAACCTCCAATCTATAAACTTTGGCTCTCTCAGATCACCCTCCAATCTATAAACTGTGGCTACCTCAGGTCACCCTTCCAATCTATAAACTGTGGCTACCTCAGGTCACCTCTCCAATCTATAAACTGGGGCTACCTCAGTTCAACCTCCAATCTATAAACTTTGGCTCTCTCAGATCACCCTCCAATTTATAAACTGTGGCTACCTCAGGTCACCTCTCCAATCAATAAACTGGGGCTACCTAAGTTCACCCTCCAATCTATAAACTATGGCTCCCTCAGATCACCCTCCAATTTATAAACTGTGGCTACCTCGGGTCACCTCTCCAATCTATACACTCCGGCTAACTAAGGTCACCTCTCCAATCTATAAACTATGGCTACCTCAGGTCATCTCTCCAAACCGTCATACAGAACAACATATTGCTACGCACGTGTAAACCGTCATACAGTACAACATATGGCTACTCTCGTGTAAACCGTCATACAGTACAACATATCACTACTCACGTGTAAAACATTATACAGTACAACATATAACTACTCACGTGTAAACTGTCATACATTACACGTATACCTACTCACGAGTAAACTGTCATACAGTAAAACATATACCTACTCACGTGTAAACCGTCATACAGTTAAACATATACCTACTCACGTGTAAACTGTCATACAGTACAACATATACCTACTCACGTGTAAACCGTCATACAGTACAAAATATCAGTACTGACATGTAAACCGTCATACAGTACAACATATATCTACTCTCGTGTAAATAGTCATACAGTACAACATATACCTACTCACGTGTAAACCGTCATACAGTAAACATATACCTACTGACGTGTAGACAGTCATACAGTACAACATATACCTACTCACGAGTAAACTGTCATACAGTAAAACATATACCTACTCATGTGTAAACTGTCATACAGTACAACATATAACTACTCACGTGTAAACAGTCATACAGTACAACATATACCTACTCACGAGTAAACTGTCATACAGTAAAACATATACCTACTCATGTGTAAACTGTCATACAGTAAAACATATACCTACTCACGTGTAAACCGTCATACTGTACAACATATTACTACTCACGTGTAAACTGTTTAACAGCAAAACAAATACTTACTCACTTGTAAACTGTCATACAGTACAACATATACCAACTCACGTGCAAACTGTTTAACAGTAAAACATATACCTATTCACGTGTAAACCGTCATACAGTACAACATTGCCTACTCACGTGTTAACCGTCATACAGTACACATATAACTACTCACGTGTAAACCGTCATACAGTACAACCTATAACTACTCACGTGTAAATAGTCATACAGTATAACATATACCGACTCACGTGTAAACCGTCATACAATACAAGATATACCTACTAACTTGTAAACAGTCATACAGTACAATATATCACTACTCACTTGTAAAACGTTATACAGTAAAACCTATACCTACTCACGTGTAAACCGTCATACAGTAAACATATACATACTCACGTGTAAACCGTCATACAGTACAACATATCATTACTCACGTGTAAACCGTCATACTGTACAACATATCACTACTCACGTGTAAAACGTTATACAGAACAACATATAACTACTCACGTGTAAACTGTCATACAGTACAACATATACCTACTCACGTGTAAACCGTCATACAATACAACATATACCTACACTCGTGTAAACCGTCATACAGTGCAACATATTATTACTCGCGTGTAAACCGTCAAACATTATAACCTATAGCTACTCACGTGTAAACTGTTATACAGTACAACATATACATACTCACATGTAAACCGTCATACATTACAACATATACCTACTCACGTGCAAACCGTCATACAGTACAACATATACCTACTCACGTCTAAACCGTCATACGTTACAACATATACCTACTCACATGTAAACCGTCATACAGCACAACATATACCTACTCACCTGTAAACCGTCATACAGTAAAACACATACCTACTCACCTGTAAACCGTCAAACAATACAACATATACCTACTCACCTGTAAACCGTCAAACAATACAACATATACCTACTCACCTGTAAACCGTCAAACAATACAACATATACCTACTCACGTGTAAATCGTCATACAGTGCAACATATTATTACTCGCGTGTAAACCGTCAAACATTATAACATATAGCTACTCACGTGTAAACTGTCATACAGTACAACATATACATACTCACATGTCAACCGTCATACAGTACAAAATATCTGTACTGACGTGTAAACCGTCATACCTTACAACATATACCTACTCTCGTGTAAAGAGTCATACAGTACAACATATACCTACTCTCGTGTAAATCGTCATTCAGTATAACATTAAGCTACTCACGTTTAAACCGTCATACAGTACAACATATTATTACTCACATGTAAACTGTCATACAGTACAACATATAGCTACTCACATGTAAACCGTCATACATTACAACATATACCTACTCTTGTGTAAACTGTCATACAGTAAAACATATACCTACTTTCGTGTAAACCGTCATACAGTACAACATATACCTACTCACGTGTTAACCGTCATAATGTACAACATATACCTACTCACGTGTAAACTGTCATACAGTACAACATATAACTACTCACGAGTAAACCGTCATACAGTACAACATATACCTACTCACGTGTTAACCGTCATAATGTACAACATATCCCTACTCACGTGTAAACTGTCATACAGTAAAACATATACCTACTTTCGTGATACAGTACAACATATACCTACTCACGTGTTAACCGTCATACTGTACAACATATACCTACTCACGTGTAAACTGTCATACAGTAAAACATATACCTACTTTCGTGATACAGTACAACATATACCTACTCACGTGTATACCGTCAAACAGTAAAACATATACCTACTTTCGTGTGAATCGTCAGTCATTATAACATAAAGCTACACACGTGTAAGCCGTCATACAGTACAACATATACCTACTCACGTGTTAGCCGTCATAATGTACAACATATACCTACTCACTTGTAAACTGTCATACAGTACAACATATAACTGCTCACGAGTAAACCGTCATACAGTACAACATAAACATATACCTACTCACGTGTAAACCGTCATACACGTGCAAACCGTCATACAGTACAACATATACCTACTTACGTGTAAACCGTCATAATGTACAACATATACCTACTCAAGTGTAAACTGTCATACAGTACAACATATAACTGCTCACGAGTAAACCGTCATACAGTACAACATATACCTTCATACAGTACAACATATAACTACTCACGAGTAAACCGTCATAAAGTACAACATATACCTACTCACGTGTTAACCGTCATAATGTACAACATATCCCTACTCACGTGTAAACTGTCATACAGTAAAACATATACCTACTTTCGTGATACAGTACAACATATACCTACTCACGTGTTAACTGTCATAATGTACAACATATACCTACTCACGGGTAAACTGTCATACAGTACAACATATAACTGCTCACGAGTAAACCGTCATACAGTACAACATAAACATATACCTACTCACGTGTAAACCGTCAAACAGTACAGCATATACCTACTTTCGTGTGAATCGTCATTCAGTATAACATAAAGCTACTCACGTGTAAGCCGTCATACAGTACAACATAAACCTAATCACGTGTAAACCGTCAAACAGTAAAAAATATACCTACTTTCGTGTGAAACGTCATTCAGTATAACATAAAGCTACTCACGTGTAAGCCGTCATACAGTACAACATATACCTACTCACGTGTAAACCGTCAAACAGTAAAGAATATACCTACTTTCGTGTGAATCGTCATTCAGTATAACATAAAGCTACTCACGTGTAAACCGTCATACAGTATAAAATATATCTATGCTCTCGTGTTAACCGTCATACAGTAAAATATATACCTACTCTCGTGTAAACCGTCATACAGTATAATATATACCTACTCACGTGTAAACTGTCATACAGTACAACATATACTTACTCACGTGTAAACCGTCATACAGTACAACATATACCTTCTCACGTGTAAACCGTCATACAGTACAACCTATACCCACTCACATGTAAACCGTCATACAGTACAACATATACCTACTTACGTGTAAACCGTCATAATGTACAACATATACCTACTCTCGTGTAAACTGTCATACAGTACAACATATATCTTCTCACGTGTAAACCGTCATAATGTACAATATATACCTACTCACGTGTAAACCGTCATACAGTACAACATATAACTACTCACGTGTACAACGTCGTATGTCAATGTTTCTGTTAAAAGTTTGGTGATATGTTATACAGCTTCTCACACAACTACGGCTTGTTTACAGTTAAAATGCTATCAAGAAACATCGTATAACATGAGTGAGCGATTATTTCGTTAAGTAAAATGTTTCACTTACATGAAGGAAACGGTTCAGCCAAGGAGCGATCCAATATATTATCAAAATCGTCGAGAGTGATATTTATATACGTCTATTAATTTATGTATGTCACTTGCTGACCACAAAATTTGATTGATGAGAACGAAGGTCAAAATGTTAAGGTCGAATAAACAATCTTTCTTAATGAATAACATCACTCGTATTTTCCAGAATGCCAAAACACTTTCGTTTTCTACATTATATGTATACGTGTAGTAAATAAAAACACCCAGGCCATGTAGGTTAAGACGTGTGGTTCTTGGAAGCTGCGGTTACAAATAAGAAAAACCACTATTTGATACATCCTGTTTGGAGAAACCAATGTTTTGACATTTTAGTGTGATAAAAGTGCACCGTAGACTGAAAGTTACATTTTCATTCACTATATTTCAAAATTTGTAGAAAAAATAAAAGTATTTAAACGTTTAATATACATGATTCACAAGAGATAAAACAAAAATGGCGCTGCATTTTAATTGACTATGTGGTAAGTAAGTAAATAAAACCGATTTTTTAATCAAAAGTGTATTGGCAATCTTTTAGAGGTAATATGATCAGCAGACAACAACATTTTAGAAAAGGCATGAAAACATAAAAACGCACGGCAAATCGGTCAACAGTAACGTAATATCTGTCGAAATATAGCAAATGTCAGACAACCCTTCAAATAAAAACATAATACGTAGTACACATATCTGCGTAATTCCATTAGAGGTCAATACGTCCTTTACTTAAACTACGCATGTAGGACGCGGCAAGTGTATCACAATCTAAAATAACGTATAAGCATAATAATTCAAATACAAATACAAAATAATTTTGTATCCGCAAAAAACAAAGTCTGCATATCCAAACACAACATCATCGGGTATACAAACAATCTGTTTACATATACAACCATATTTGTGACGCACTTTAATTTATTCTAAGTCCACATCTAAAGGAGGCACATTTCTGTCACAGTATTGGCCATATACTAAAGTAGTTTTAATAAGAAAAACCTACACATGTATGCGATTAATTTTCTGTTCGTGATTGTAAATAATGCAGCTTTTTCAGTGGTAAGTATCAAATGAGGATTATAATACACACCATCCACATACCATCCTATTGTATTGAATTAGACGTAATACATAGTGTCAAAATATAACGTAATATTTCCCCGAGCGATTATCTTCCTCACACGATTAATACTCATTTATCAGGATATATAACGTAATATTTCCCCGAGCGATTAACTTCCTCACACGATTAATACTCATTTATCAGTATATATAACGTAATACTTCCCCGAGCGATTATCTTCCTCACACGAATAACAGTAGGTTAATGGTATATATAAACGTACATGAAGCGGTACGTCAATGATATCTGTCTACTAATCTGTCTACTAATCGGACGAACAGATCGCATTAACATTAGTCCCGAATATGAATAAGTTCACTATTGTCACATTCAGGTTCCCCCCAGTGTTATACCACAGATATTGTGATAGCGTCAATTCCATTATCGAGACATCACAGCATGTATGCTGTTATTCAGTAAGGAATTGACATTTGTCGTATTTCATTTAAACCCGTTTTTTCATGTAAATAGTATGCATAAGTGTTGAAAGAAAGGACTGTATTAACAAGAGGCCCAATGGGCCTGAATCGCTCACCTGGTATTAATCTCCCACTTGTCATCTTAAAAGTGGACTAAAATACAGCTACAGGCAGAATATCAGTGTTTGATTCATAAGAACCTATTAAAAGATTTAAACATATGACGCCTGTGACCTTGAATGTCGAACAAGGACATTAGGTTGAACAGAGTTTAAAGTCTTCCAACCCAGCATGCTTTTGGCAAAATATCATAACCCTGGACCTATTGGTTATACAGAACAAGTCATTTAAAGATTTAAACATATATTGACCACTGTGACCTTGAATATATGCAAAGGTCATTCATTTGAACAAATTGGTTGCCCTTTATGCCAGCACGCTTCTGGCCAAATATCATCATCCTAAGACTTTTGGTTATTGAGAAGAAGTTGTTTCAAGGTTTTAAACATATTTGACCCCAGTGACCTTGAAAATAAGTAAAGGTCATTCATTTGAACAAACTTGTTAGCCCTTCATCCTGGCATGTTACTGGCCAAATATCATTATCCTAGGCTTCTTAGTTATTCAGAAGAAGTTGTTTAAAGATTTGTTAAGACAATTGACCCCTGTGACCTTAAAAATGGACGAAGGTCATTCATTTGAACAAACTTGGTAGCCCTTAATCACAGCATGCTACTGGCCAAATATCGTAACTCTAGGCCTCTTAGTTATTCAAAAGAAGTTGTTTAAAGGTTTTTAACATATTTGACCCCTGTGACCTTGAATATAAGTCAAGGTCATTCATTTGAACAAACTAGGTAGATCTTCATCCAAGCATGCTACTGGCAAAATACCTTAACCCTAGGCCTCTTAGTTATACAGAACAAGTTGTTTAAAGGTTATAAACATATTTGACCCTGTGACCTTGAATATATATAAAGGTCATTCATTTGAACAAATTGGTTGCCCTTTATGCCAGCACGCTTCTGGCCAAATATCATCATCCTAAGACTTTTGGTTATTGAGAAGAAGTTGTTTCAAGGTTTTAAACATATTTGACCCCTGTGACCTTGAAAATAAGTAAAGGTCATTCATTTGAACAAACTTGTTAGCCCTTCATCCTGGCATGTTACTGGCCAAATATCATTATCCTAGGCTTCTTAGTTATTCAGAAGAAGTTGTTTAAAGATTTGTTAAGACAATTGACCCCTGTGACCTTAAAAATGGACGAAGGTCATTCATTTGAACAAACTTGGTAGCCCTTAATCACAGCATGCTACTGGCCAAATATCGTAACTCTAGGCCTCTTAGTTATTCAAAAGAAGTTGTTTAAAGGTTTTTAACATATTTGACCCCTGTGACCTTGAATATAAGTCAAGGTCATTCATTTGAACAAACTAGGTAGATCTTCATCCAAGCATGCTACTGGCAAAATACCTTAACCCTAGGCCTCTTAGTTATACAGAACAAGTTGTTTAAAGGTTATAAACATATTTGACCCTGTGACCTTGAATATATATAAAGGTCATTCATTTGAACAAACTTGGTTGCCCTTTATGCCAGCACGCTTCTGGCCAAATATCATCATCCTAAGACTTTTGGTTATTGAGAAGAAGTTGTTTAAAGGTTTCAAACATATTTGACCCCAGTGACCTTGAAGTAAGTAAAGGTCATTCATTTGAACAAACTTGTTAGCCCTTCATCCTGGCATGTTACTGGCCAAATATCATTATCCTAGGCTTCTTAGTTATTCAGAAGAAGTTGTTTAAAGATTTGTTAAGACAATTGACCCCTGTGACCTTAAAAATGGACGAAGGTCATTCATTTGAAAAAACTTGGTAGCCCTTAATCACAGCATGCTACTGGCCAAATATCGTAACTCTAGGCCTCTTAGTTATTCAAAAGAAGTTGTTTAAAGGTTTTTAACATATTTGACCCCTGTGACCTTGAATATAAGTCAAGGTCATTCATTTGAACAAACTAGGTAGCCCTTCATCCAAGCATGTTACTGGCCAAATATCATTAGCCTAGGCCTCTTAGTTATTCAGAAGAAGTTGTATAAAGATTTTTTAAGACAATTGACCCCTGTGACATTGAAAATGGACGAAGGTCATTCATTTGAACAAGCTTGGTAGTCCTTCATCCCAGCATGCTACTAGCCAAAAATTATCACTCTGGGCATTTTGGTTATTCAGAAGAAGTTGTTTAAAGTTTTTAACATATTTGACCCCTGTGACCTTGAAAATAGGTGAAGGTCATTTATTTGAACAAACTTGGTAGCCCTTCATCCTAGTTTGCTTCTGGCCAAATATCATCACCCTATGCCTTTTGGTTATTAAGGAGAAGTTGTTTAAAGTAAAATATTGACGCCGGACGACGGACGCTGCACCATGGCATAAGCTCACTTGGCCCTTCGGGCCAGGTGAGCTAATAACTGTTGAATATTAGTAGACAGATTGTAAGTCGAGGTTGCCAGCATATCCTTTACGTAACACTTAGTTGCGGACAATGTCTAGTTGAAACAATTTAAACAAAATTAATGGAAGATAATCGCACGGGGGAAATATTACGTTATCTTTTGGCACTATGTATATAAGTAAAAATGACTGCGTGTGGTAATATTATTATGCTCTGTTTCTTCTTCTTCTTCTTTTTTATTATTATCATTATTATTCTTATTTCTTCCACTTTCTTCCGCCGACGAGGTTCCTGACATTTTTCTCGAAAACCGTAGGGCAGAATTCAACGAAACTTTACAAGAGTATTTTCGACGTGTCATGCGACTGGTCAGCTCTGATTGGTCGAAATTTAGACACTGTCGGATTTCCATCAAGTTTGGTATGTAGGTGAATCATGGGACAATGATCACTTCCGTAAGTTAGGTTTCACATTTCTATAAATGGCCCCCATTTCCTTCTTCTGATTGGCCGAAATTTAAATATTGTCCAATTATGATCAAATTTAGTGTGTAGGTGTATCATAGGACAATGATAATTTCCGTAGCTTAGATTTCACATTTCAACAAAATGGCCGCCGTTTTTTCTCTCTGATTTGTCAAAATTTTAATACTGTCCGATTTAGATGAAATTTGGTATGCTCGGCCTCCATTTCCTGGCCTCTGATTGGTCGAAATTTAAATATTGTCGAATTTTGATCAAATTAGTATGTAGGAGTATCATAGGACAGTGATGACTTGATCCGTAGCTTAGATTTCACATTCCAACAAAATGGCCGCCGTTTTTTTCTCTCTGGATGAAATTTGGTGCATAGGTGAAGTATAGCACTACGAATACAACCGCGGTGTTTGTTTCGTGATTAAACAAAATGGCTGCCAATTCCTGACCTCTGATTGGTTGAAATTTAGATATTGTTCGATTTAAAAAAAGAAATTGGTATACAAGGGGACTGCAAAACAAACTGCATATACAGTCCCCTTATATACCAATTTCTTTTTCAAATAAAACTGCATATATAAACCGAACTCGGTAGTGAAGCGGACGTAAAACCT